CCTCTGCCATCATCTGTTGCTGTTGAAGCATTGAAGCATCAGTGCCAGCAACCCATTAAAGGCGGGTGGCTGTTTTCTACAGGGACTCCTGTGGAGATGGTTGAGCAAGCAAGGATTTCATAAGATAAACAACAATATTAACAACCCGGAGCCTCCTTTCCATCACATTGTCACAAAACAGTTTCTTCAGTCAGTGGCTTCTTTAGATTTGATACAAGACAGACCACCACAGGGGATCTTACAGCCAAACGCTATCAGCATCTAGAGTTTATCTGTAAAACCCAGCATAATGTGAGTTGCAGTAATATCCCTTATGGATTATAAAATCACTCTTAAAATAAAGACAGCAAGAATACTTCAAAGATTTTTAAACTTTAGAATCCCATGTATCATTTCCTGCCACCTAAAAACCATTCCCTACGTTGTTGATCTATGACATTACACTGCAATAAAACAGCAGATGCGATTGTAGGGTGACGGAAACTAAAAGGTTCAGTAGTATTATAACATTTCCAAGGTACTCTATCAGATTCCTTGTTCCCTTTAAGAAATTCAGAGTTGTTATTATTTGTGACTTCGCTCAGTGTTAGCACAAATATAGGCCTAAATAAGGATTATTGTGCCTTAATGCTAGAACTAAAATATACATACAAGATAATAGTTCTAAGTTCATAGCCCCTTCTAAATAAATTAAGGGGTTTTAGAAAAACACAAAATGTGTATAAACATTTTAAACATTTAAACAAATGAAAGTATTTGAAAAATAAAAAATTCTATCCTCTACTGGTTTCTTCAATTTATTTTGCTTCTAAAGGGTTTTCTTCATCCTTTCTTCCTGTGGGAGTGCTTTACATTTTCCACTTTTATCATCTAAGGCTGTTCTATATTTCATAGAAGTGTTTTTATATGTAATTGTGTCTGTGTTTTGTGTGTCTTCTAAGCCTGGAGTCTGAAAAAATGTCCTTATAGTAAGAATGAGAATAATTATTGTGAATTACTTATTGATTAGGGGGATGGTTATTATTTTAAACGCACAGCACTAATGACTTCACCATAAATCTCACATTAAGTGAATGATGGGAGTCTTCTTTCACAGCTTCACTCACCAAAGAAGCAGTAGATGATTCCAAAGAGGCAGCACATGGAGCAGACCACCGAGGGCACAATTTCATACCTCCTCTCAATCTCCTGGTCACACTTTAGGCCCATCTCAGCTAAACCCAGAAGCTGGCTTGTGGAAGTCATTGTGTCTCCACTAGAGGGGGAAGGGTTCAAGGGTGGATGGGGAGGGGTAAAAGACACAGGGATTCTTGGATCAGTGGACCTCTCCCATGGAGACGTATTTGCCTGTAGAAAAGGGTGACAAAGAGGGGAATGGAAATGAATGAGGACATGAAAAAAAAAAGAGAGGAGGAGCGATTATTGATTGCTCTTCTAAGTACTCAGCTGTGAGTGCTGACACTGCGGTAGTCATGTTCCATAATTTTGAAAAACAAAACATCTGAAGAAAGAAGTTCACAAAAGTCCTTCTTAAAATGAAATGCAGTGCAGCCAGTATTGCTGACTAACAAGTCCATTAAATGTTGTAACAAATAGGGAGGATGGTGCAGCACAAATACAAGTCGCTGTATAGAGCGGAACATAATTCATTTTCATAAATTAACATTTTGTGTGAATTTGTGGCACTATTACAAGACAGTTTATTGATTTTTTTTTCTTACAGGCAAAGGCCTGTAAACCAAAAGAAAAAATTATTTGCATCATACTTTCTCTAACAAATCACTTGAAGCAACCATGATGCTTTCAGCAGTAAACAAATAAGAGAAATGTAAGAAACTGATTTATTGTTCCCTTGTTCTAGTATTATTAAGTGATAAAGGTGTGAGGAAAAAAGTACAGATTGTGACTGATAATAGCTGAGGGCTGACACATTTGCCCCATAGCTTTCTCTTCTTCATCATATAATCTGTTCTTTATTCTCACATTAGATTTATATGTGTAAACTCTGTCTAAACCCCTCAGAATCACTTTTTTGTATCAAGAATACTCTGAATTTAAGAGTCTTAAGTCATCATGTTTCTCATGTCCAAAAAACAGAACTTTAAAGATAATGGCAGTCTTTACATTCAACATATGCTTTAATTTATCACTTTTTCCGGGATTATGACAGGTACAGAGATCAGGAGGATTTTTTGTGTGTGTAGCAAGCAGTTGTAATGCTAGCAGTCTTTTATCTTATTTTATCCAAACAAGAACTTTTGATGCTTACATGTAACAAAGCTGCCTTCATTGTGGTTTGTGGAAGACCAAAGAATTATGTCGATCTATATGCAACAAATAAAAATGATGTTTTAAAATTGTGTTTGCCAAAAGCTTTAAAGATTTAAAACATCTACTAAGTAGAAAAATGCTTTTCTAAAGCATCTAAAAAATCTTTTTCTATTTTGTTGCAGTGCGTTGTGTGATTCATGAAGCACAGAGTGTTGCTGCCAGCCAAACACCCACACACAGCTTCACACTCATTCATGTACCACATCCCAGTGGTTAAATGTCTAGCTGAGACACAAATTAAGACCTCAGCAGTTGATACATTTGTATAAAAGCATCAGTGCTGCATTTTATACACCAGCTCATTAAGCATATGAAGTACTACACTGTGTATTTTACAAATATTTTGTCTATTCCTGGTTTTAAAAAACACATTTCATTCCAAGGGTGGGTAATGCTATCTGAACCTTCTGGAACTGTTACAATCATCAAATTTCCTTTCACTGTTGTTAATGGTTTTGGTTATTCCTTCTCCGTACCCATTACCATAAAAAGGCTCTCTAATCCAGATCAGTGAACCTTTAATGTCTGAGAACAGATGACAAACCTGCATTTCTTTTTATTCTTTCTTCTTCCCACCTATACTCATTTAAAAAAAATAGTAAATGCACATAATGCACATTCGCAAAGACTTAAGAAAAATATTGGAAGCTCCGCAAAAGTCTTTCATGTGTTGTCAATTCTATGCCTTTTATTTGGGGTTTTATGTGACCTACTAAAACAAAGTACTATTAACTGTAAAGTAACAAGAACAGATAAGAGCTTAAGATAAAAATCATCCTGAAAATGCGCCTTATATAATGTTCCTATATCAAAATAAAATATAAACTCTTTAATGTCTGTTTACGCTACAAGTATTTATTATTATGTCTCCATAGCTCTCCAAGCTTTTAATAGCTACATCCTTCTATGCAAAACATCTCAAACTATGTCAGATTAGAAGGAGAGTGCCTTTTAGCTGCAGTTTTCAGGTTTTAGAAAATACAATATTCTTGGTTAGATGGAGGTCTAGACGTTGGGACCACTGACCACTGTTGGGAGGATTTAACAAAAGAACATGTTATATACATGTGTTTAATTTCTGTTGTAGTTTGTAAAATGCTAATTTTATCATCAGCTCTAATTTCCCTTTTGCCTAATATTTAATGAAATAAAATTTACATTAAGAAATTGAATTCTCATAGTCTTTGCCCATCATTCCCCAATGAATGTGCATCTCCACCACAAACTACATTTAATATTTGAATTATTAAGAAAACATATTGTAAAGTTTTTTTTTTACAGAGGCAAAATTGTGACACAAAGCCAGAAAACTAGAGTTTACAGACTCTATTGCTGGAAGAAACATTTAGCTGAACACTTTAAGTAATGAGACGAAACCATGTGCAATACATTTTTTAAATAAGTGTATGTAACTTTGAGCAAAAAAGGTTGCTACAAGCTTCATTATACATTGCACTGAGGGGAAACACAGATAGAAAAGACTTTAAAAATCAACTGTACTTAAGCTTAGAGAAGTTAAAAGCAAGCCAAGCTTGGTGAAATGATTATTCTTTGCCAAAAATGTTTTTTCTTCCCCTAGCTAACTAACACCAATCACACGAGGAAAAACTTTTACAGTCTTGGATGTTTCCCAAACGCAGAATCTACAGTCAATAATCAAAAGAAAAACACCAATGGGAGCAGATATTGTATGTTATCTTCAGAATTAAATAATAGACTTAAAAGCTTCTTATAGTTTAATTTATTTTCTTCCTGTTAACTATAATTATTTCAAAATGTTTCTGTATTTATCAGTACAATCTGCTCACATGAAACTTAGAGTAATTGTAGTTAGTGGCTGATTGTAATTGAAATGTATCCAAATAGATTTATAGCATAAGTTTCCAGTTTCATAAATAAGAACATTTTAAGGTGAAGCAGTTCAATTTCTTTAGTATGAAAGATTAAGTGTGTCCACAAAATAACCTTTGAACCTTTTTACTATTAACTTCAGACAATTTGAAGTACCGTAATAACTTAAAGTTCAATTCATTTAAGACTTGCACAATTATTTGTTTTTCTTTCTTGGTGTGGGCCTAGCTTCATTGTATTCAGAGGTGGTCTTATATCCTCCCAGCATAAAGTGAAAAAGACATAGAATCACTTGTTCTGTTGCTTGGATACAGTGCCTTTTTTAACAAGTACAATGCTTGCAAAGCTATAAACACACTGTCTGTCAAAGACAGATGTAATGTGAAATTTAAAATGAATTTAAAGAATATATATATATATATATACAACAGGAGTTGGATGGAGCTTATTTATACTGGAACCATCCGGGTTTGGTTGAACTAATAAATTTGATCAATTTTCATTCACAGAATATATGTTTTGCTTATGGAACTTTGCTTCACCTTTGCTGTTGACTACTTCATCTTAGATAAAAGCCAACCAGTAAGGTTAGAACAAGGAATAGTAAAAAAACAAAAACAAATTATGCATCAATGTCACGTTGTGGCTGTTGCTGTAACAACCAGCAGAAAGAGTAAGACCTTCCAAATGGTTCATTGGGATCGTCTCCATGGGAATGTTCAGAGCCATTCCATGATGGTCTCCATTGAGATCTTTAGCTCTAGATAGACCTGACCTCTGACCCTATTCAGCTTGTGCCATTCTAGAATTCCCTCTCAGGGTCTCCACAGTAACTGCTCGATTTACCGTTCTCAGGAATAACAGTCTTACTACCCTTTGCATAGTCAAATGTATATGTAGAATTAAGCCTACATATAAACCAAATAGATTCCTTACTGCAATTCACCATTTAAATATTCGATGCAGCATCAGACTCTGTTGAGACCAAGATTTCAACAAAAATGTACATATATATTATTAGAATATCACTGCTTAAGGTGGCTGCACGTTGAAGTAGCTCTGCAAGTATCTTTTTATTTTTGGACAATTGTTATGATGATAAATATTGCAACCATAGCTAGCTGGTTTTTACACCTTGACACTGATAATTAACATCTCAAAAGCTGAAAAAATACTCAACTACCTCTGCAAGTACAAGCTGTGATAAAAAATGTGATGCCGTGGATTAAGAGCATGAACAAAGAGAACAGAGAGGAGTACTAAATACAAGCCATCTCTTCCATCAATCATTATGGGATGTGATCTCCTTAAGAAGCAAGTAAGAAGAACTTCCAGCCATAGCAAGGACCTAACCATTATACTATCACTAAATCCATTTTCTCTCTGCCAGGATTTCTGACCATATGAACACACATATTTGAAGAAGGCTGAAAAAAATAAATTAAGTGGGTTGACACTGCTTGTGAACAGCAAATGGTGTCATCCATTACTTGGATTTTTTTTTCTCTGTAGCCCGGTTATTAAACTGCTGGCAGTTGGTTTTTATCCATATTATTTAACCAGGGAGCTTACTAGTGTTGTTTTGGTAGTTGTTTACATTCTACCTTCTGGTTTGGCCACACAGCATTTGATATCATCAGTTCCATTGTTGCTGAGCTACATACACAACAGTCAAATGCATTTGAGTATTATAACTATTGACTTTAATAATTCCTCACTCTCTGCAACACTGCCAACATTCTAACAGTTTGCAAGGTGCTGCACCATAGAAAACAAAACCTTGGACTTGATATATGCAAATGTCAACGACTCATAGCACTATAAAGAACTCTTGAAAAAAAATATTTTTTCTCTGCTCAGACTATAATCCCTTAATAAGAGGCAATCTGTATTAAAGATAAATCCATTTAATGGGTAAAAAAAGTTAAAGAAGCCCAGAAAGATTGTTTAAACGCTTCAAACAGGAATGTACTGTCTCGGTAATATGGTGAAGACATCAATGCAGTGACTAAGTAAGTATCACTGACTTTGTAAACGTTGGTGTAGATAATACAAACCCCACAAGAACAGTAACAAACTCTGGATCACCAGTGATCTGAAGGAGCAGCTAAACAAAAAAGAGCCTTAAGGAAGGGAAGCATGAAATTATTGAGGTATGTATAATA